CAGGAATGTCTCACCCTTCAAATTAAAGCTCAGGAAGTTTAACTTCAATCTCTTTATAATCAGGTAAGGTGACTGAAGCATGAGACATTTGCTTTACTCAAATAAGGAATCTTCTAAAGCCAACCCAACATTTAAAAAGCTTCTGTCAAGCTTTGCTTGTAGTCATTTAACAAAGTTTAAAGTGTACTTAAGTGTGAATAGTGACAGAAGAGACATGGTTTAAAATACACCAAAAACAGAGAGAGTTTTACATGAGAGACATGTCCATTAGTGACAGACATTTGTTTTAGAATTAAAGCATCTCAGCATACAGTGAACAGAGAATAAAACAAATGTTTAAGTAGCTTAAGGAAATAAGTAGAAATACCTTACTGTCAAGCTTTAGCATGACTCTTCCAAGCCCCCTGATGGGCCGTGGAGCAAGAGCTTCCTGACGTTCCTTCACAAAATTTTCAACAAGTTGCCACCAACTTTTGCAACGGTTTGCCATGAAGTTCAAGACTCCAAAATGAATCACGAGTTTTTTAAGTGCCCAAACTGTAACCACAAGAAGGAGATTAAGTATTAGAGATCTCAGAGGAGCACGACAAGATGACACATCTATTCTATTCTGAAAGACCAATGAAAAAGAAAAAAGAATATTCTTGAGTTTAATTTCCCATTAGAAACCACTTTCTGAAATTTGAAGTGGCTTTAGTACTAAAGGCCTCACTCGCTTTACAGCTATGCCTATCCACGAGGAATTTAGATGGCAGAAGAGAGATGCCTGCACATTACCCGATGATGCCGCTAACAGACCCGAACAAGGCCTGGGATAAGCAGGTGCTATCCTGTGATTCCAGTACAGTGGATATATCACATCTTGACACATACACCACGACAGACGACTTCACAAAAAATACCACCTTCAGAACTTAACAGTAAGTTACACATAAAAAAAATTTCAGCCTCAATTCTTCCGTTTTAGGCCCTCTAGACTGCTAATGCTGTATCTTTCCTTTTAGAGCTAACTGCAGATCTTGCGTAACTTCACAGCAAAGAAGTGTTCCTTTAAACTTTCAACTGAAATACAGCTACTGATTAATATTGCTTTTAAACATCAAAAACATTATTTTGAGATCAGCTTTTTATCTTGGCATGAAATTTTTCAGAAATTTTTCTTTCAGAAAAAAATCCATGCTGCTCCTCAAAATCAGACACAAAAAAATAATTATTTCCAACTTATTTTCTCCCCAAAAGAAGTATTTTGTTACTACAGACAGCTTTTCTCCAACACTCTTAACACGTATCCACTGTAAATTAAAGAGCTAAACAGCACTAGAAATGTCTAGCATTACAGTTCCAGAAATAAAAGCTCATGTCCACTAACTTGCCATGAAATAAAGCCCAGAGACTTGTGCATAAGGGCTATGGTTCCAATTCTGCGATGGCACTGCTCTCCCTCACTCTCTTGAGTAGACATGCAAAACTTGTGACCCAACACAATCAGAAAAAGTAAAAGCAATAAAAAGCACGATACATATGAAACTTTCTTTTGAAGCTAACAGACTTTTAACAGTCATTAAATATTTGCCATATTCTTTTTTTTATTATTCAACAAAATGTTATACCACTCAAATTATCTATCTTCTTATCACTGAAAAGAACAAAAGTGAGTAATCTTCCAAAGCACTTAGTAAATTTAACATCAGGACAGAGGATTTAGTTAATTCATATTATAAACAAAAATCTGTATCACAACTGATTTCACTGGAGTACTGATGCCAACATAGCAGTGACAAAAACATCATTACAAGATACATCAACTTAAAGGACCATAATTATTATATGTAGCAGTAACAGACTGGAAAGTCTCACAACCCAGTCCTGCCATAAAATATCGATATACAAATCTCTAAATGAAATTAAGCTGCATCTCCAAATAATGAAAACTGTGGTTCCAAAAGAAAATAAAGTGAAATCATTAGCAACAGACGCTCATAATTCTCCTAATTTCTCATTATTTCTTTTTAGACCAGAATTCAGTAACAATGAACTTCACATGTAGATAAAAACCTACAGTCAGTGTTAAAAATTCTACTTATACAATAAAATAACTTGTGAAAATGTCAGCGGTACTCCTCCAATTATATTGTATTTATAGCAACATTTGATACTGAACTCCCCACCACTACATTTAAGTGTGCTATTAATAAAGCTTTTTTTTTTAAAATTATGAAAGACTGTCCTCCAAACTAGATTCATTACCTTCTGTCATACATCAACATCACAGTAATTCCCTCATTCTCAAAAATTCACATCATGCTTCTACTTGGAGATGTGTAAAATCACATACATCTCTGAAAAGGTTAACTTTAAATGTCTACAGGGCATTTATCAAAGTTCCATGAGAACCTATTATCTGTAGCAGTTAAGTCCTCGTCCGTGGACAGCTTATTCAACAATTTGCTGACATTTGGTTTGCTTACACTCTGGCACCACCATGTGGCAAATATGGGATTTAATCTCTTGAAGAAATAGAAGAACCTAAAAATCTTTCCACTACAGATCATGTGGCAAACATTAAAAAGGAAACAGGAAAAAATAGAGTGTGAGTCCCAGCACCTAACTTACAGGTTGAAGTTTCCTTGCAACGAATGAGCATACACTCATTGCACAAGTGATGTCAGAAGGTGCCACAGTCAATCACACAGCTGTAACTGTATTAGGTTAAAAAGAAGCAAGAGAGAAAAAGCTAAAAGGACTGTTATTAGAAAGTTGTGAACAAGAGAAAGGCTGCATAGGAAGAAGTTACAAACATTTCCAGAAAGCAGAAAATCACCTGAAGATAACAGCAGAAGTTAAAAAAAAGAATGCAACAGAACAAGCAAGGAAGTAAATGAAAGATTTTAAAAAGGTGCAGTACCAGGATTTCCAGACTCACATCGGTGAACAAAACACAAAACCTGGTTTATTGCTTAGCTTTTAAATTCAAGAGTCATTTTTCCCCCCTTTTCATTTTATCATATGTAGTATATATGATAACTCTACATTAAGCAATTTTAAAAGAGCATCTCATTCTACCGAAATACAAATGCATTTAAGGAAAAATGTTAAAGGTACTGCATTCTCCTTAAGGTCTTAAAGTTATTAGTCTTCTTAAACTCGAACAGTTGCAAGAAAACATGCTTTATATGCTTACCTATTTTCCACTACTAAATATTTTTAATACCACCTCTCTTTTAACAACTCAGATTATCATCATTCACCTTCTGACATTTAATGCGATACACTGTTCTAAATTTGGCTCTGTTCATCATTACACTGCCTTTTCATAATATTTTTGTGGTGATTAGTTATACATCAAGAAAAAGCACTTAATGGCCCAGTGTCACTGCTAAGGCAACAGGTCACAAATATTCTTAAAATTAATTTCTATTTTGGCATGAGTTTATTGTTTGGGCAGCTATTTTAGATCTAATGACTGGCAGCAGCAGTATTTATCCATTTCCTTTTCAGATATGCAGTTTGATATAGATTTATCTGGCTCAATCCATTCATTGTTCTCTGCCCAACTTCAAAACTATTGCATCCATTTTTCCTCCCACCCAAGAAGGTACTTCTAAACAGTCATTAAGTCACTCCTTGACTTTTCTCTTCAATAAATTAAGCCACGTAAGCTCAGCTTCTAGTAAGTCTAAAATTTATTTTCTAATCCTTTTATCATTTTTATGATTTATTTATGAGCTATATCCAACCTGTCATTGCCATTACCTGCAATGCCCAGACACTAAAACTGGGCCATTTCTTTTGTAGCAACTACAGAGGAAAGAAACAAAGCTCAAACCCCTCTCCCCTCTTACTCCATATTCAGCTATTTATATGCCTAACAATCACACTACCCTTTAGCTGCTGCTACAGTGCCACAGCCCATAGGGAGAGCCTCCATAGGGAGAGATCAGGAGCTGCCTTGTGCCAGTCTGTTCCAGTTAGCCCCACAATGGGCCCTCCACAGCCCAAAGCTGAGCCCATCAGGCAAAGGTATGGTACCTCTGTGAGAAATATATTTAAGAAAAGACAGAAAACACTAGAAAGTCAGAAGGGGAGGGAACATAGTGAGATCAAGGGAGCAGAGGGATAAACAGAGAGAACAAAAAGGCCAGAGGAGGAGTGCTCCACAGTGGAGCAGGCACACCACTAAGAGGGACCATGGCAAAGTAGGTACACCTCTTGAAGGGACTGCGGCCTAGGGATGAGGAGATGCCTGAGCTGCTACCTTCCCAAAAGGACTGAAGCTCATGGATGCACCCATACTGGAAGACAGGAAAAGAGTGACTGGCTCTGTGGGTCACTAGCTGAGGCTAACCCACCACACTTGGTAAAAGGGAAAATAGCTACATTTAGGTGTTAAATACATTTTCAATGCTGACAATTAGCATTCTAAATGAAGTTTAGAGAAAATTCAAGCAAATTAGGAAACTTACGTTGTTTATAGTAGGGGAATGGGAGGAAACGCCTTCAGATTCATAGCAGCTCATGTATATTTCCAGAGTTCCCACCTTCCCTATTCACCCCCCAAAAGAGTATCGGAAAAAATGACATTCAGTTTTAAAATAACCTCTTCAGATAGCTACCATAATTACTCCATTCTTGCTTGATACATAAGAGAACAGGTGCGTGTAGATGTGAAGTAACAAAGCTAATTAACCTCAGAGCTAGAATTAGAATCAAACTTATCTCGCAACTTGTCCACAGAGCCTAGCAACCCATTTTTCATGGAAATTAAAAGTTAGCATGAGCTGTACTTCAGTACTGAATAACAACTAAAACATTCTTTATCTATAGGTGCAAAAACATGAAAGACATGACATCAAGAGGAATTAAAAACAAAGTACTCTAAACTCTTTTAAGTATTCCTACAGTGTAAAGTATGGCATCAAATTACTCCAGATAACTACAACAGTCAACAGACAAAGCAATTTCACAGAGTTGCCCCCTATCTGGTAACAAACAGTGCACATCAGTCTTCCAATCTGAAATTACAATTCATCTTTTCTTAACAAGAGTCTTGAAAAAGTTTTAAATTAAAAGTCATACAAGCCTCTCCTATTTCATTTAACATAAAGCCTAAGGCTGTCCAAAGTTATCATTTAACCTACATTGCTAATAATTCGATTATTACCTGCAAAAGGCACCGGCAATAGCTGCACAATCCAGAAATTTAGCCAGATCTGGACAATGACAATGGCCCACACAAGTGTAACAAAGTAGATATCACTAGTTTTCTTTTTTCTAAGAAAAGATCCAATCTCAGGTCTTTGTCTGCTCCCAGAAGAGGATGAAGAGGAGAAAGATGATGAAGCGCGTGGAGGCTGATCACCTTCTGTTGCTCCTACAACAAACAAATGCAAACAAAGAAGTGGAAATTATCACATCAATGTTCACCATAGAACAGAATATGCTCCTCAGTCCCAAATTAACCTTTTTGCGGGTTGGTTCTGATGTGGTTTCTTTTAATTTCTCTAAAAGACAAAGACAGCCTTGGCACTGATCTGAATTTTGAAAAGCTAGAACAGGGCTGCGTAAACTCTCCCACATCATGCAACGACATGGAAAGCAGTGCAGGGAGGAGGAGAGAAGCAAAGATGCTACAACCTCTAAGAGGCCTCCTGTCACTGCAGGTGTATTACAAGCCAAATAGATTTTACAAAAGAACTGTAAATCTTTAAAAAGCAGTGTCATTAACTTCTAAAAAAAAAACCTGAAGTCTTAAAAGAAATCTTTGATTTCTCTTTACTTAAAGTACTCAAAAAGAAGTCTTAGATTTGCTCAAAGATTATTGAAACAATACAAAAATAAACAGTATACAGTGAAGAGAAATCTCGTATCTTACAAATGTCTTACTACACTTTTTCTTTTCCTGGACACTCACATTACAAAACAGAGCACTCACACTGTGATCCTGAATTACCTGTTTGTGTAACACATTTTAGTAACAACAGTAAGCATAAATCTGTGAGTAACAGATGTTGTCATTCTCTCATTCTTAAGTTAGTAAACATGACAGTCAATTAAAAAATGCGAACTGATGTGTTAAAGGCACTTATAAATTAAACAGTAAATAGTCATTTCAGGCAAAAACATTATGTCCAAAGTAAAATTCTGGTACAGAGAATAAAATATATCTATTTATTTAACTTTTTAGCTGGTAAAACTGCCCAGTACAGGCGACACTAAATCCACCTTTAGTCACTGTATGTAGAATCTCTCCCTGAGAACAGCAGTATTAGCTTTTACAAACACCCCATGCTGGTGGTGAAATGCACGCTTCCCACGCACCATTACTCGAAAGAAATTTGCAGCCATGGTGGAAGAACGCACACACAAAAAAACCTGAAAAGTCACTCTATGCTGAAGAATAAAAGGCAATTTTTTATGTTGGTGCTTACTGCAGCAGGTCATTCTTTCACTGGATTTGTGTCACATCAACACCAAACACTTCCCTCCCACGAAGAAAAACTGCTGTAAAAACTGTATTACAATGTACTTCATGCATATCAGCCAAATAACTCATGTTCCACACACATGGTTTTAGCTGCAATGTGTCACTAAAGCCATTCCTAGCCTAAAGCATGACAGCTACAATGTACAAAAAGACAAGACAGATCTGTCATACGTGTGCAGTAGTGGCAAGTGACAAATTCTGCAGCCTCACACACTGGATGAACACCCTTCTTTGGTTTTAGAAGTCTGCACTGGTGCTCTACAAGTAAGGGGAACTGGTTTTAGAGCTTATAAACACACCACACCAGTACAATAATGCAGATCTACTGATTCACCCAATTGACAGACACTGGGATGATGATGGAAGCATCAACTGGTTGCTGGTAACATATTTGGTAAACTTCAGAACATTCCCAAAGGAATGACAGCATGCAACCTGCAAGAAGGAGCTCGGCAAGAAGCTAAAGTCACAGAAGCTTCAGGTGGAATGCTTCTTGGCAAATCAGCTCATGTCTCAAGGGGATGAAGGCCAGCCCTGTCATACAAACTACACTTCAGAGAAAAAGACAACAGCTAATTTTTTTATGAGGGGAGAAGAAGTTACCTGTAAAGAGAAGGTTTCCTAAAAAGACAGAATGTTTTTGTCATAAGACACAAAAGGTCTATCATTCCCCTGCATCTCTCTGTCTATTCTTAAGCAAGCAGGAAAGTACTAATAGAAGCAAATGGATCCAGCTTATGATGCACTAAATTTGAAAGCTGTATATCCATAATTGAAAATTCTCCCCTAACAATGTAGCTTAATCAACACTTTTATTTTTACTTCTTTTGCTCCAAAATTAATATAATTAACATAAGTAGTAACATGACAACAAGTAGAAACAAGTATTTATCAAAGGGATGTGCTAAAAGCCAAAATAGAAAAAACAAGGGAATTTAATATGCTGATGTCTATGCCTCAAGATTAAAGTTATTCAAAATTTTTTGCCCCAAAAGCCCTTAGAAGAGTTATTTTTATGAAAGAAAAAAAAGAATATTCTTTCTTTTGGTAATGAAAAATTTGATCAACATAATTTGCAATGAAGAAAACCCTAATTAAATAACAGCAACAGTAACGTCAAGAGCAGTACCAATTAAACAGCCTCATTCGCTTCCAGTTTCCCTATTAATTTAAGGAGACTGTACACAGAATGCAACACAGATGGGAAAGAGCTGATGGGGAAGAAAAAAGTAATTATAAAAAGACTAAAAACTCCTAGGAGATCCAAAAACAAGAAAGCTTTTTCAGACTGCAGTTCGAGCACTTCAGCAAAACTAAACGAGTACTGCCGATGACCCAGTATTCTCCCCATGACCCACACAGACTCTTCACCATCAGAACTGCCACTGACTATCCTAAGTCAGTTCACAGAGTTGACCCACCCAAAACCCCCACCAAACTGCAAATGAAAAAATTCGTATTTTGTTGTCAAGATATGTCCTGCAAACCAATTCCTGAATATCTTGACAACACAAATAGGAAAAAAGTAGTCTCAGAAAACTGATTTAGAGTAACTTCAGGATCTGTAAAATGCCGTTTGGCATGCTTCACGGCATTTCTAGACATGAAATCTGAAAAACACCTTTGTATCTTCCAACTAATGAAAGTATGACAGTCTTTCCCAAATGGCTAACATAATACCCAGTAAAGAGTTCTAGCAAAAGCAGAATGTATAGTACTTACTTGAACGTAATAAAAGCAACAAAACTAGTCAATTTTACAGGCTTTCTTAAGACACATTCTTTTCTTTACACTATACATTTTCTGTTAAGTCAACTTTGTGCTGGCATAACATTTTGAATTATTTTCCTTCTCCTCCTTAAACAGAAGGAAAAGGAACAGCAGCACAAACAGGAAGACAAGTGTCTATATCTCTATGGAGCAGTGTGTCAGAATAAAGTCTTCAGAGTTAGGTGAAACAGTGATTTTATTACTATGAATGCAAAAGTCTTTCAGGACACCGGGGTGAAGGTACCCCTTCATGAATAATCACATCTTTCTGTAATTTCAAGAGAAAAAAAGTTTTGGGTTTGTTTTTTTTTTTTTTAAGAAAATGAAGCGGGGCGGGGAAGAGAAGATAAGAGGCGTGACTACATTTAAGGATTTTAGTATTTTTAATATTCAAAGCCAACAAGACAATTGAATCCTGTCTACACGGCAGCTAACAAAAAACTGCAGTGGTACTTGCTTCTTAAGTTGCGGACTTCTCATATGCTGTATAGTCTGGAAATTCTTGGGACACCTGGAAGGACAAGCTAGACCACCTGCACTGGTATCACTAAATGCCTCACCCTCAACACTAAACACCAGTATTCAACTACAAAATAAGGAAAAACATGAGTGTTCAGAAAAACCTATAAAAATCAATACAGTTTACTTCCCCTCCTGCTTTTTTCATGAACAAGGGAAGGCGAACAGTAAAAACATGCATTGACTGTTGTATAACTGATTTAATACAGTATAAACACTGTTACTGCTACCAACAATTAATAAACCGACAACTACTGATGTATTTAGAACAGATAGAAGTAAGATGCCCTCCTGAAGTCTGCTAGCCACCTGGCTGAAAAAGTGAACACTTTCAAAATCTCAGTTTTCATAAAACAGATGTGTGTTACAAGTTCCAAAGCAAGATAACAAAACATCAAAAAACCACTGCAGAGGAAAACCAAAACAGTTGCAGTTTCTTAACCATTCAGATAGAACCTTTTGCTGTACAAGAGTAAAGTTTCACCACCATTCACACAGAAGATACAAACCAAAGACAACCAAAATGATGCCTACTACATATCACAAAATGGAATGCTAATACCCAACAGTGTGCTGGAAAATTATTTGAACTATTGTTAGGAGTAAACAAGAAACTTGATAGTTGTTCTTTTCCTGCTGCGAAGAAAAACAACAACCTAACTCACAAAAGAATAAGTCGTCTAAAGTTACCCTTTTTGTATTTAAAAATGAAGCACATTTTCAAGTACAGCTTACATTGACACATTTAAAATCAGGAAGTCTGTTTACAGTTCATCAAAAGATTTCTGAATAGCTTGCTCTACACCGTTTCACCTGGTGGCTGAAGTAACTTAGTTTCACAAACAGTAGCCTTTAGACAGAAGTTTTTAAAACCACAGGGGTTCAAAGCATCCTCTCCTGCACAATCACTATGTTTCCTCCTCTGAAGCGCAATTTACACACTACAGACAATATCGAGAACATACTGTCTTGAAGTAGATGACTCTGAGACACCACCATTTTTAAAATGAACTTTTGGAAGTTCACATTCTGTCATGTTGAATGACCTGTTTTGTCTACTCTCGTAACTGCCAACAAATCAAAAGGTGGCTAGGGAAAATAATTAACAAAAAAAAGTAATAAAAAATAGGAAAAAAATAGGCCCTCATTCTGGGGAAAAAAATCTTCTAGTCAGGCCTTCTAAATGTACAGCCAGCCATGTAAACTATCATTTGAAAGCTAGAATTCATATTATTGTCATCTTAACACTTTTTAAAACATACACTTGTTTCACAAGGCAAGTATAAACATGCTAATTTTGGACAGGATGAAGAGAAGAGGGCCTATTTTGATATTTGTTCTTAATTCCCTCCAGTTTCATGCTTTGAGAGCAAATGCAAATGTTTTCTTACAGAGTATTCAGTCACCTGAGGGTTGTGAGGAACGTTCATTATTGGACTCATCTTCTGTCATCGAAATTGCCATGGCAATTGTTGAAGCAGCAATGGAAATCATCTGACCAGGAAGCTCTGCCCCTGTAAAATATGTATGTGTATGTAAATACAGAAAACCTTAGGTCTTCAAATGTTTTATTTGTTACTCAATATCCACCAAAGCTGGCAAGCAACAGAAATAATATGGATCGACACTGTTACTTTTTAATATGCAATATATCCAGTCAATACGATCAAACAGGAATGAGTGCTATTAATTTTAGGACTACAATACACCTGGAGCCACAACACAAAATCAGTTATTTGCTTAGCACCTTCCTTGCTAATGAACCGCTACCAACCAAGTTATTTGCAGTTGCTGGCAGTCCAATTAATCTAAAAATCTCTACACCAGATAATTAATTCTACTAACCAAGATTACGACAACTTTCAAGAAAACTAAAACAGCAAGGCAGGAAAAGAAAGCTTCCCAAAATAATCACACACAAAGGAACACCTGACATTTGCCGCTATGCAAAACTGACTCACAACAGGCAAAACCTGTTTTTCGTCAGAGTCTAAACACAAACCATAGTTTTAAGAAAGCACTATTTTAAAAATGAATAACTGGATATAAGAAAATTCTTGGATGGAGTTGTCTCAGCTTCCTTCATACTCAGTATTACAGGAGCTACAAAACCCGTATCGCTGATTTCTTTCAAAATTAGCCTTTGATTTCAAATTCCTGGGCTTGCTTTGTGCTTGAAACTGCATATAGGATTCTGTAAATTTAAGCAACGGGTTCGATAATGAGACTTGTTGCTTTGCTATGGAAAAGAAACATCAGTCCATTGCAATTATTTTCTGCAAATAATCAAAGATTCACTTTGACATGTGTAAACCACTTGGAAAAAACATACTAAAAATCTTACAGTACACTCTTGCAATCTGTATGATGTTGAATTTACAGTAATACAACAGTCTACATTCTTTCACTTGCCTTTACAGAACTTTTGCCTCCAACAACAGAAATAGTGACTCGTTCCTTACCAGAAGAGTCCTTGCCGTTCTGCGGGTCATGCAACACCCCTACAGTCATCAGAACAACGATAACCAGGAACACCGGAATTCTCCAGGAACCTGCCACAGAAGCTGAAATACACAGGTTTTTTATGTGTGTTTGGTATTTTAACAAGAAAAACTATGCCATTAACAAACTACATTAAGGAAAACCAAGAAAGACATCACATCAACCAAGAAAAATCTGGGCAGAAACTAAGAAGTGTCATAAAGCAAACAAGTTCTCTACATTTATGGAAAGGAAGAATAGAAGAAACAGGTGAACAAGTTTCTCAGTGAATAAACCTAGCTGTTACTGTTCCTAACTTCAGTGACTTGAAACTATGCTAATACAGATAACAACTTAAAAACAACATGCAAAACATTTTAGATATCAGATGCACCACCCTCCCCCACAAAAAAAAAAAAAACAAAAAACAACCTATGTTTATGTTAGAACTCCACAGAGTGGCATCAAGCAGAGCCTTCTTGCATTTTGGCTTTTCAGCCAGTACTTCCAGCAAATACAAGACCATCAAAATGTAAGCAAATGATGTAGTCATTATTTGTATCTTAAAACCTCACGAAAAGTGTCTCCACATGGTCAGAAAAAGCCTTAAAACCTGCTGCTAAAACAAAATAAATAATGAAGTATGTTGTGAAACCTTTCATTGTGAGTCTTCTATTATTTGCCTGATACTCCTACCATAAAGTTTGATATGATAATATAGTATCGTAATTTGTTATATTAAATATGTTAAATAAATCTAATACTAACAGATCCTTACAATTATATTGGTATTAACAGACTATACAAAGTACTGGCACATTTATTTGATATCGTTGATACTATATCAACATGCTCGTTGACTACTGATAGAAGTTTTTTTGCTTCTATTACTACTACTAAATGCATTTTACAGCTTCAGCCTTGGTTAATGACAGGCTCTGAAGAGAATAATAATATTGAAAATCAACACAAGTGAAAGTCTCAATCCACCCACATGTGGCCTCAGTCCTTCCCCACCATCAGGGAATACCAGGTCCATGAGCCAAATAAGGGAAAATCATGGAAAGGAGAAACAGGGCAGGCGAAGCAGAAGACACACATAGCTCAGCATCTCGATGTCTTCCCACTCCCTACTCCAACGCTCCCTTCTGGCCACATGGAGCCAGAATGACTGAGCAGAGAAAACACCCTGCAGCTCACCTAAGACTCCATCATAAAGATTTAGCAGAAGAGCAAGTAAGCAGTTTTGTTTGCAAGACAACAGAATCCCAGCAGACACAATAACTTCTTGTTACTCACCTAAGTGAAAGAGCAGCATGATCCAGACAGGGACAGAGACTGCTTTTAAGTAACGTTCAGTGCTTATATTCCACTTGAATGAAACCATCAGCAGGTAACCAACTACCAATGTCCATATCTTTAAGAAAAAGATACACACAGGTATGTATACGCATACGAGCACAATAGAGCTGTATTTTGATGCAGTTGTATACACACACACAAACCCCCTTAAAGCTATATTGAAAGAACTGAAGTCAGGTTCTAATTCTTTAAGAAGACAACATTTCAGAACTGTCAATTAATTACAGGAGGTTTTGCTTCATTTAAGAGAAACAAAGTTTGTGCAAAGTAAGGACAGGTTAGACATGCCTTCGGTCTGCCTTCAGCATGGTTCTAACATGAGGGAGTACACACAAGGTTTGCTGGACACAAACCCAGAAGGGAGATGTTTCTGCAGCTGAGACCAAGCAACTGCTCTGGAACTACCATTGAAAGGCGAGTACACCTGAAGGAAACAGGGCCACCAGCAGCACCAGTGGGATCACATGGAGACAGAGCCAGCAGAGCACCACTCCTTCCAGCACAGAGCAGTTTTCCCAGCTCCTGTGCTCCAGCCTAGAGGCAAAGGGAGTTTTAAGCCCAAGACGGACATGAGGAAGCACAACAATAACTGCTGTTCCTCAAACTTTGTGCTGGTCCACAAAGCAGTCATGCATATAGATGACTTGTGACACGTAATTTTATCAAGCAATTAATTATTTAACTAAAAATACTAAAGAGAGAGAAAAATATCTGTGATGACCTATCAAGAGGCAGATGTGGTAATTTTAGTTTTGCTGCTTCTGGCTTCTACAATGCTGCTCACCAGATAAATCACAATACAGAATTCTAATTAAGAATCCTGAGATGAAGAATTTGAAAATGCTGAAAAGAAACTAGAAACCAGAAGAGGCAACAGGAGGTGAAAAGCTACCACTCAGCAAAAGATGTGAAATATAAGAGATATGAAAAAACCTGTAAAAAATAAAAAATTAGTGTTGCATTCTTAAAAAAAAAAAACACAAAAAAAAACCAAAACAAAAAAAAACCCAAAAAAACCCAAATCTGACATTTCTGGTCCAAGGCCAACAAACACTTCCTATCCATAACCAGTTAAGTATACCTTCAAATTTATACTTACAAATCCACAAATTCCAATGAAGTTTAAACAGAACTTCTATTAACATCATTTCCTGAACCAGATATCCCTGTAAGCAGGGACAATGCACTGACTGGCAGAGACACAGAACAAGCGATCAGACAGAACACACCAAAAGAGCTTTCACCTCTGCACCATACGAGACAGACACGCTGAAGAAGCAACAGTCCCTGTGAAAAGCAGGTTTGTCTGTCTACTCCACGTACCCAGCTGGTGCAGAGGAAATCTTAATTGTACTGAACTCAGCAGATAAGTAGGGATGGGTGCTGTTAACTTACAAGAGAATGCTCATACACACAGGATAATTTTAAATTGCTTAACAAAATGTGAACATATAGACCCTTTTCATGCTAATCTTTCCCAAAGCTGAAAGTCCAGCTTTTCACTGCTGTCTATCTCTAGTTGTGCATCAATAGAGCTGTGTAATGCTTACAAACAAATGTGGATTCAAGACAAATGTTTAAAACTAATGCAACTTTTGAACTTTAAGACTAAAGTCATAAACATTACAAGAACTGTTTTCAAATGCACGGCAGCACTCCTTTAACAGTATAGGTTCGTAACAAATTCACTCACAAGGAATATTACAGCACAACCATAATTGCAAGAGAACTCATCATGAAGATGCTATCCTACAGCCTAACATCAGCCACATAGCATCTTTGTATCATAAATAGTCCAGCATCAAGGCAATTTTTCTCTTTAGCTTTTAAATTCAATGATAAGTTACAAACAGAAGACTCAGGAAGTTCAATAAATTAAACCTTCCGATTAAAAATACACCAAAAGTAGGAGGCTAACAGGGAATAAGCCCGTGTTTAATAACCAACAAAGCAAAACACACTGTGCTGCTTCTAGCCATGCATGCAGCTGAACTAAAAGCTAGCATTTCAGGGTTTAGGATTCAAGATTTTATTTTGTGCGTGTTGTACGTTACCAGAATTCATCAATTCTCACTTCTAAAAGCTTAGCAAATGACCCAAGTAAAAGTATTTCTTATTTCTACTGAATAGAGAGAAATGGCTTAAAGTAAACAAGCCATCTCGCTTCAGAGATCAAACAATAACAATCCTGAAGCTCTGTAAAAGAGCCCCTATGTAGTCAATTGACTGGTGCAAGGGGTTAATTCAGGGACACCACAGAGTCATCAGTTCTTTATTGGTTGATGTTATGGCCAAGCACTGCCGAGAAATACACTGCATGAGAACCAGGGTAGCCTACTTCTCTAACTTGGGTTGCCTGCTTCCAACAATTCATAGCGGAAAGCAACTGACAAAGCAAATCAGTTTAAATTGACATGGACTAGGATCTCATCCCATACTAACTTGGCAACAGCCTATTTCTTTTTTCCCTTTCCTTAACCCTTTAAATGCATGTTATATAACTTTTCCCGCTGCTTTTCTGAATGGTCTCCAAAGGTTTTGGCTACAAGAGCGTGAGAATATTAATAGCCTCTTTACTGTTGCTTGTCCATCTCAATAGCTGACACCACGGAAATGAAGAATAAAAGATACTGCCTACTTGCATTAAAATTAAGCTACTGTAATTATTGCACTGAAACTAGCAGGGATACAAATTCCACACTAAACCAAAATGCCTATGAAATCAGTTTTGTAAGAGTATACAGCTAACCAGGTAACTAATACACATACTTCAGATACCGCAGAATGCATTATCTACCATAAACTATTTCTTTATCAAGCTGAAGTCAGTTGCAGATGCCTAACTTTCATGACATACTCTGAGATTTTAAATGCCTGTTCAATCACAATTAATATTTACAGACATGCACAACTTCCATACATTAGCATTTTAGTATGGTTTAATCCTGTAAACTTTCCTCCTTCTTCCTTCTCTCACTGATCCTCATTGTCTGAGCAGACCTCATTTCTCACAACTCCTTTGCATTTTGTAGCACCTCTCACAAATTGAGCAAAATGTTGTTTTGCCTTTACACATACAAAGTAAAGCTGCTGGCTTCCATGAATAAATAGCTGAAAGACTACAGTGCAACTTCTTGGATCTTACCATCCACTTTTGGTTTACAGTGGTAATTTTAAAAGGCCAGATTTAGAGACATTTAGGCAAGTCTCAAGGGTTTCAGTTCTCTTTGAATTGCCATTTGGAGGCAAAATTATGCCACAGAAAGATGCAGCTTTTATGTTAAGCTCAATGATTGATTTTTCTTTTAAGTTTCAGTGTTTGAAAGTCTAGGATTTATATCAGCATGACCATATCACCAATACAGAAAGTCTGTTTCCAGTTTCAGTTAAAGTTGAAAGAATTCGAAAATCTGAGTCAGTCTTTTGGCTCTGGCATCATTTTTCAGCAAGAACAAGCTTTTACTATTCAACTTTAGACATACTGATTTACACTGAAGAGTAAACTTCTTTATTTACACAGCTCACTCCCCTTTTTTCCTATCAGCAAGTTAATCTCTAAGGCAGAGGTTTTACAGATGAGCTCATGTAATAGTTCACTGCTACAGAAAGCAGCAGTTCACTCTCTTCCACTGCCAGACAGGCGGTCCCACCTCTCCCACACACCAGCTTCAACATTCATCCAGCCAGCTCAAGCTCCCTAAGCTGATAGAAAAGAACTATGAAGAAAAAACCCCAAGAGTTTATAATCTAATTCAGTTACAGCTAAAGAGGCTCACAGAGGTAAGACCGGCACTGACAACAGAGGAACTGAAGCTGTGTCAGTCTTCCTTGGAATGCTGCCCCAAGAACCCCAACACCCAGCAGCAAACACATTTCCTACCTACTTCATGTGCACAACCCCATGGTAAACACAACTGTGAAGGCTGAGTAGAATAATTAACAGTTACTTCTTTTGACACCTGTCCAGTCAACCTTCCAAAAGCTTCCAGTTTTCAACAAGTCAGGACCTACCAAATGGCACATTTCAACTCTTTCATTTTCTAGTTGTAGCTCTATATTTGCCATTCAAAGTGTTAGGTTTTTTGCAGGATGCTTTTTTCCACTTGGAAATCATACAGCAAAGTTTTTTAGGGTTTGGTTGGTTTTTTTTAATACCAGTGTTTAAGGCTGTTTGATGAAACCATGTATCCAATTCAGTTACCTATTTTCCAGTTTGTTTCAGGCTTATGACCAAAAAAGGAGTCTTAACTATCTCACCACTTCCTTTTAGTATTTAAAAATAAAAAGTTCATTTGGAAATACAGATTTTCAACAGTTTTTCCTAAAACAGGAAATCCTTAAAAACATTGACCAAACATTCACACGGCACTTTTGCAAACTTTTAAAGCAATGCTGCACCCAGTGAAGCTGGCAGAAGCAGCGATCTTATGACAGCAGTTTATTATTTCTACCTCTTCCTTCTCAGCGGCGATGCAGACGAGCAAAAGAAAATGAACTCACCACAAAAGCTGAGCAGAATAGTGTTAGACTTGAAAAATGAAGCAACATAATGCATTAAATGCATTGCTAAAAGCCAAACTGTTTGCCACTATGAACATCACAGTGTTTTCCTTATCTGTCTGTTCACTTGAAAATGGTGGTCTAAACAGTGAAAAAGTTAATAAATAAGGAGGCAGGTGAGCAATTATAAAAGTATCATTCTGATTACAGTTTTCAAAACCAAAATTAATTCTATGCGGCTTTACCGTATATTTCACAGTACACAACAGGAAATATCCTACAATGTGCAGAGAGCTTGGCAGCATGAAGAAAGCATAACTAACCTTCATTTAGCATGGAGGCAGTCTTTGTCAAACACATACAAAATTAAAAAAAAACAAACTCCAAACCCAACTAACCACACATATAATAATACTGTCCATTTCAAAGCAAACTCAACCACCTCTTCACTTCACTAAGAAAGCCATCATTTACTCAAGCAGGTAAATGACATCCTGATCTTTTTTTTTTCCCTTAAGTGAACAGAACTAAGCATAAACCTGACAGAGTGGGTTATTCTTTGTCCTAAGCCCAAAGGGCCAGAACACCATACTAGTTCTGTTTCTTCGAGAACCCCCAGCTGGGACATTCATCCACGTAGATATGCTTGGCACTAACACACCCAGACTAATAAACCACATGGAACAGAAGCCTGGTGCTCAGTGAAGCTGTCCCTCTCTGAAGGGATACAATACTAATTTGTAACAAGAATCCTGGGGAGGAGGGGGCAACCAACAATCAAAATCAACACTGTCACACATGAGTTAAAAGTATTTTCAATGTGTCCTGCAACATTTCCTACACTGTGAATTTAAGGAAATTCATTACATCAAAGACACCCAGAAGACTGCAGCCATAGATACTGAAAATGCTCCTCCTTTAGTTCAATTTTGTCTAAATACAGAGGTTTATAATGAGAAACTCCATTAATAAAAACACTATTCAGAAATCAAGCTTTTCAAGATTCACTTGTGAAAAGGTTTTTCAGAGCACAT